CCATACGAAAACATAAATACATACTAATTTCTACGTTATTTTTTGTTTGTAGATTTGATTGAAATAAAATTCGATAAATGTTTGTTTATATAAATGAAAAAAAAAAATATAAAAAAATAAAATAAAAAGAAATAAATATTTTTTGACATTTTATACAGTGGGCAAAAATAGTAGTGTCCTTGGAGCGTGCAGTATCCCAAAAGGACGCACACAATTATTTACAAGAGTACAGTATCAAATTAGGTCCAGGTGACGATCCGAATAATCCAGCATGCGAACAGAGAGGTGTATTAATCATCAAAAGTAAATCTAAAACGAGAGCTAAGCAACGTAAGGGTGCCGTTTCTAATTGGAAGGTGAGTTTTTTTTTTTCTTTTTTTTTTTTTTTTTATCATTTATTCTTTATTACGTATATCCTTTATTTATTAATTTCACGCACGCATGTATTATCGTTTATCGCGAACAACACTCACGCACAATCAATTTCGATTGGAAGATATGTACACTCACTCAAGTTTATTTATCGGCTTTCCGTTCGATTAATTTTGAATTCATACATATATATATATATACATGTACGTATATGATAGGCTCGGGGGAGTGGATATGTTCACGTCCCCTGGTCATCCTGCAATGACTATAATAAATTGAGAAAGACAATTTTGACAGAATTTTGACTCCTACACAAACGTATATTTTAAATAATAAATTGTTTCAATGTAAATACACCTTTTTTATTTACGTATTTTTATAACGTGTATACGTTTATTCTACAGGATTATTTAAAAAAGATGATACAAAAGAATAACTGATTTATGTGTTAGTGACATATAATGGTATGCACAATGATTCATGATAAATGTAAGTTTTTTGTCTATAAGTTTATGTGTCTGTCTGTGTTCACGTACTCGCGTACATTGCGTGACGAACAAACCCAAAGTGTATGGGCCTTTCTTGTATGCCGAGTTTACTGTCACGGGCCTTACCTACCTGGACATGTTAACGGAATGGCTTCTACTTCAACTAGGGGAAGATTGTCCTAACTTCATCTTTCAACAGGATGATACTCCTCCTCATTTCCACTGAACCGCTCGCGAACACTTGAGTTCCAACCTATCAGAGCGCTGGATCGGACCTGTCAGGAATCGTCGATGCTATTCTGGGCCTACACGATCACCTGATTTAACACCTTGCCATTTCTTTTTGCGGGAATACGTTAAAGATGTTGCGTATGCTTCCTTATTTCCACAACACCTGGACAATTTGAAGAACTGCATCCCTGATGCTGTAAACCGAATAACCGAGGATATGTTGGAACGCGTCTGGGAAAAAAATGAACTACCGTTTACTCATCTACACAGACGGACATGTAACTTATGGACAACAAACTTATGCGGGTTGTCTATCGATGCATATCAATGTGGTTTTTGTAAGTCAGTTCGATAAACAATAAATCATCTTTCATTTTTGTACCATCCTTTTTCAAATAATCCTTTATAAATATACATACACGTATGTGTTCCAAATGTTTAGGGAAATAGAATAATTTTTGACATTTTTTAACGACATAACTTCATTCTCATCTTACTATCCAACGAAAAAATATTGAAAGACAAATCAATTATTCCGAAAAACGAAATTTCCAAGACATAACCTAGAAAGTATTTCTTTTTGAATCTGCTTGTAAGCATCGACTGGCGATCTTATTGAATCCAAATATTTGATAAATAATATATCAGCTTTGATTTTTGTACCATCCTTTTTCAAATAATCCTTTATAAATATATATACACATGTGTTCCAAATGTTTAGGAAAATAGAAAAATCTTTTCAATTCTTTAACGACAGTACGCCATTTTCTTTTTATTATCCAATGAAAAATATTGAAAGACAAATAAATTATTTCGAAAAACGAAATTTTCTAGACATAACCTAAAAAGTATTTCTTTTTGAATCTGCTTGTAAACATCGACTGACCATTTTATTGAATTCAAATGTTTGATAAGCAATAAATCAATTTTAATTTTGCTCTATATACTTTTGAAATAACGTAACTGTATAAATATTAATATACGTATGTTCAAAATGTTCAGGAAAATAGATCAATTTTCTACATTCTTTAACGACATTCTTTTATTTTCTTTTCTTATCATCCAATAAAAAATATTAGTTTCGAAAAAACGAAATTTCCAAGACATAACCTAAAAAGTATTTCTTTTTGATTTTGTTCTACTAGTTCTGTAGACACCGACTGACCATTTTATTGAATCCAAACATTTGATTAGCAATAAATCAGCTTTCATTTTGTACCATTTTTTTTAAATACACCTGTAGATCTATGTACGTGTAGGTGATATATGACATTCATACATATATCTTAAGAATTTATTCAAACATATATTAGGTAGTCGAAAAAGATTTTGTTGATTATTACACTAAATTCAAACGCATTTTTATACTATTACCAATAAATTTTATTCAATCAAATACGTACTGTTTAGGTCGACACCTTTGTACTGTTTTTCCGATAAAATTTTTATTACCCTATTATAAAACTTTTTTGGAATTTTTTTGGTGGAAAAACTGTGACAAGTGATTTTCACATGCATATTTTGAAATTAACTTTACACTATTAATAGAGTTCTGTAGAGACGGAAACAAATAGTAATCTGATGGTACAATGTCAGAAATATACGGCGGATGCACGAAAAATTCTCAACCGAGCTCTCTCAATTTTCGCCGGGTCATCAAAGATGCATGTTGCTTTGGCGTTTTCATGATGGAACGCAACACCCTTTCTGTTGATCAATTCTGCTCGCTTTTTTTTAATTGTTTGTCGTAATGTTTTTAATTGCTAGCAGTAGAGATCAGAATCAATTGTTTGACCAGGTGGCAGCAGTTCATAATGTAGGATACCTTTCCAATCCCACCAAACACACAGTATCACCTTTCTTGTCGTCAATCCTAGCTTTGCCACCGTCTGTGGAACTTTACCTTGCTACGACCACGATCTTTTTCCTTGATTATTGTCCTTAGCGATCCATTCTTCATCACCTGTTATTATACGTTTTAGAAATAAGTCGATTTCCATCCGTTTTAGCAACGATTCGCAGATGGAAATTGGGTCAATTACATTTTTTATTTTTAAATCATGTGACACTCAAACATCGAGCTTCTTTTAATATCAAGTTATTTGCAAATGGTTTGAAATTGTTTGCTAATTGATGTTTGCTTCTTCAGCGATATCATGAATACTTATGAGACGGTCTTGCTTCATATTATGCATAATTTCATCGACTTTTTCAGCGATTGGTTGACCAAAGTTAGGTGCATTTTCGTCATTGAAATTTCTAAACCGAAAAAAGCGTGCGAATTGTTCACAGACTGTTTTTTCTGTTACCACACTTTTATCATAAACAATTTGTTTGATTGTCCGCGTTGCGTTCTTCCCTTTACTGAAATAGAATTTCAAAATGCATCCAAGACGCAATAACTTTTGACAGAATGAATAAATGCCACCATTTTTGTTTGAAATTAATCTACGGTATGTCACTTTTCAAACGCACGCTAGTGAACGTTAGTATGACACGATAGAATAAGTATCATCAGAATTATATGACCTAAACATTTCATACATTGTTTAATACTTCATAAACAATCCAGGAAAAGTTAACTATCTAAAATCATACTTTTCTTAAATCCACATTTTTCTCATTAATAATTTATTTGACGGAACAATAATTCACAATCAGATTAGCATAAATATTATTTAATGACATTTGACTGAACATAAACGACATGTTTAAAATCATATTGTAATACAAGTATATATATTAGGGTGAATCAAAAAAAAAACTTTTATTTTTTTTTTGGATCTGACACACAAAAACTTGTTGCTAGGCACCTTTAGGAAGTACTCATCCAATATGGGCTCTTAATTTCAATAGGAAGATCCTCCTCATCGCGGTTTTTTATTTTTTTCTCAGTCAAACAGAAAAAAATTCATACCTCCTCATTAATTGATTATACGAAAAAATGTTTTAATCAAATTTTGTAGGAAATTCAATGTTCTACAAAAAAGGTATCTCATGTTTTTTTCGTAAACCTCACTATTTAAAAGATATTGAAGATTTTAGTTTGATTATTTTAAGACAAATTTCATTTTTGTTTRTGAATTTTGTTACTGACTGAGTAATAATTATTATCGAATGAGATGCACTGATTCTTGTAGGAAATTTAACGCTTTACAAAAAAGGTTTGATATGTTTAATTGATTACTCCAACCGTTTAAAAGATATTCGTATACGAATCCCAATGCTTTCTGATTTCAATAATTTTTTAATGACTTTTTCAAATTTATCTATTAAATTCATGAATATTAGAAATTTTTACGAGAATTTTAGTTTATATTAATTGAATTAAAGTTTTTTAATGTTTTTTTAACATTTTTCATGAATGTAAAGAAGTTTTACTTTTGGAAAAAGAGAATGATACGTCCGTTTTTATTACTTAGAGATAAATTAAGATTCATTTTTGAGAAATAAAGGTTCTTATTTTAGAAATATCATTATACAAATAAATAAAAAAGGAAAAATTCTAATTTTTTATATGYAATCGATTTATTTCAACTTAGAATCAAGTAAAATATAAATTACATTACGAAAATACATTTTTTTAGGCTTTATTTATATAAATTGACTTTTATTGCAATTAGGATATTTTTCTCGATGTTCTTTGACAACTTGCRACAAATATTGAAATTGCTCTTCATTCTTAGTCAAACATTGGTTGTATTCGGTAAAATGGTAATTCTCGTAAAAATTTCTAAAATTCATGAATTCAACAGATAAATTTGAAAAAGTTATTAAAAAATTATTGAAATCAGAAAGCATTGGGATTCATATACGAATATCTTTTAAACGATTGGAGTAATCAATTAAACATACCAAACCTTTTTTGTAGAGCGTTAAATTTCCTACAAGAATCAGTGCATCTCATTTGATAATAATTATTACTCGGTCAGTAACAAAATTCATAAACAAAAATGAAATTTGTCTTAAAATAATCAAACTAAAATCTTCAATATCTTTTAAATAGTGAGGTTTACGAAAAAAAACATAAGATACCTTTTTTGTAGAACATTGAATTTCCTACAAAATTTGATTAAAACATTTTTTCGTATAATCAATTAATGAGGAGGTATGAATTTTTTTCTGTTGGACTGAGAAAAAAATAAAAAACCGCGATGAGGAGGATCTTCCTATTAAAATTAAGAGCCCATACTGGGTGAGTACTTTCTAAAGGTGCCTAGCAACAAGTTTTTGTGTGTCAGATCCAAAAAAAAATAAAAGTTTTTTTTTGATTCACCCTAATATATATATATATATATAATCAATTTCGACAAAAAATAGTGATGAAATTTGTCAACAGACATATTTATTTGCAATAATAAAATATCGTTTCTCGCGAGTATACATATCTCTCGGTGTGTTTATATTTAACTCGATGCTTGTGTATGTTTACGCGAAGGTAATATAAAGGTTAGGAAGGTACGAAGTATGTAAGTATTACGTACATTCTTGTTTACAATTTAGCCGAGTGTTTACGTTCCACAGTTAGCTCATACGTATATTTGATCAGTATTAATGTTACTACAGTCAAGGATAAAGAAGATAGTATAGTATACTATAGTATATGCTACACATTATTCCCTACATATATATTATATATATGTATATTATATACATTTATTTTAATAATCAAATTGAATAATTAAATTGATATCGATATTTTATAAATCGTATCTTTTGTAAATATATCGATTAATTAGAGTGTTATTGGTAACCTAACCTCAAAAAGAATAACCAAAATATGTATAGGTGTATGCGTACGATTATCGTTAAAACACACACGTTAAGTAAATGTAATTAATAATACAATTGATATTAATAATCAATATGATTATTATTTAATATCCTAAAAGAGAGAGAGAGAGAGAGATCATTTATAAATGTTAATTAAAAAATCTATATTACATATATTATATTAAGGTAATATTATTACTATAATAATATGTAATATACACATACATATTAGCTTACGCAATTAATTACGCGATCTGTGTTTATTCATGAATTTGATTAGGATTAATATCCAATAAGGAATATAATCAAAACGTGTGTAAAACGTATTACATCTTAACAATTTTAATTAATAATTCATTTCACAATTAATATATATATATATATATATACATCTCTCATACACACACATGTAAATACATAAATATATAATTAGTATTAATATCCTCATTTATAAAAAGATTCAATTCAAAGATATTAATATTATCTACAAGAACATATAGGGTGATCGGTAAAGTTCAATCCGATCGAGAATACTTTTACATGATTCACGTATCACCCTGTATACGTTTTAAAAATATAATTAATTATTGATTTGTGACAAGTTAAACGTTTGTATTGATTACACGTATCCAAAAAAAAAAAACCAATGTAATTAATTAAATCTTGTGTTTATATAATACAATAATTAAATGAAATGGTAGAATAAATAGAATGTTAATAGATATATATGTCACTATGTATTATGAAAATTAAAATGATAAAAGAATTTTGATGAATTATTTAACATGACATTTCGTCATTACAAAACGAGCAAGCAAACAAATACCTAAGCGTTGATCGTTCAAATCGATAATACTACATAACTTTATTATCTCTATCTCTTTCTCTCTCTCTCTCTCTCTCTCTCTCTTATTCGTTGCACGTTGCAGGTAACTCAATCGGTCGATTAATCGCACGAGTAGCATAATTAAAAGGACACCATGCTGTGAGCTTTAATCGCATCGCATTTGTGCAATGCGATATCATCTCTCTCTCTTTCTGTCTCTCTCTCTCTTTCTCTCTCTTTCTCTTCTCTTTATATAACAAACCAATGTTACGTGTGCACGTGTGCATGTACGATTGCTCGATAATCGATATTAGAAATGTTTCATTATTTTTAACTTTACAGTTTCGATATTGCTAAAAATAAGATTTATGTGTGTGTGTGTGTGTGTACATATAGGTACACAAAAATTGTACACACTACGTAATATTAATTTTATAATATTAATTTGATTTAAATTACGTAATAATTAAATGTAAGAAGAACAAATATTATGTATAATTGTTGAATTAATTATTTGTGATTTTTTTTATCGTGTAACAAGAATCAATGTTTATTTTAAAATTTTATTTTATTATTATTATTATATATATAAATCGTATTACATAATATTAATCTTTTTATTAGAAAAAAAAAATAAGATAAGAAGAAAAATATTTGATGGTTGAATTAATAATTAATGTTTAATTTTTATACACATAACAACACAAATTTATATTTACTTCAATATAATGATAGATTATATTTTAGTCAAAGTATTCTACTTTGAAAGTTATTTTCTATTCTCACTTTTCGAATCACTAATGGATTCTATACTAGTCAAATTGAGATTCTTTTAAAGCTATCTGAATTTCGAAATATTTTTGAATATCTTCGAAAGATTTGAAATGATTCTTAGAAAAGCCATGTTGCATCAAACGAAACATATAGTTATCTGAAGGAGCAACGTCTAGTTCAAAAGTTGAGACCCTTTTCGAAAAGAAAATGTCATTTCAATAATAAACGTACACAAAATCAAATTTGAGCAGCTGCAATTTGAATTCGATTTCTGTATTTCAATATTTAAAAACATATATATGATACGGATGCAAGTTTCCAAAAAATGTTCACGTTTATTTATATGAGGTTTGAATTTTTGCGAATACAATAAATAAAACGACATTTTGTTGTAAATGGTAATTTTATTCGTGTAAATGTAAACACAACAAAGTATTGTCAAAATAATATTACAATTATTTATTTCAGTTTACATTCAATGCAATTTTCGGACATGGATATTCTTTGCCGATTTAGTCGAATTTGGAATGTACTTCGTGCATTTTAGATACAGTTCCGCTTTTAAACTTGTATCAGTTAGTATACCTCTATGTTTGCTTTTAATATTGTTCATCGATGAGAAAAATTGTTCACAATTATTGTATGCGTATCCAGATAAGGTAGAAATTTCGAGAACTAATATCCTGGCATTTGAATTATTATAACATATTGAATAATTAATAGGAGTTCGTATGCTGAAACGGTTATAGTATTGCGAATATTGTAGTGCTAGCAGCGTTATCTATGCATACATATTTTTTTTTTTTAATTTACTTTACCGACGCATTATTGATTTTTTCATTTTAGGATAACTATCGGTTCTGTGATGGACACAACCGATTTTTATTAAAAATTTAAATGCCGCATTTTGTTCAGCAAAGAGCCAAATACGGGTTTCCGATCCCTGGTCTAATGAATAGGACAGGTGGGATAAGACATCTCATTCAAGTTTCTCCAAGATTTTCTTTATTAGTTTTGCAACACGCGATCTAACATTGTCGTGGAGAAAAATCATTTGGTCATGTTTTTGACGTAATTCGAGCGTTCTTTTTTCATCGATCGACTCAAATTAAATAATTGTAATCGGTAACGCTAAACATTGATGACTTGATTGGTTGTTCTACCGACAATACCTCCAATTCACCATATTCAAACTTTTTCGACTAACCAGGGTACTCTTTGTCATTGACGTCAAAATCATTCTCTTTAAATCGTCCGAACTTATCTCTGCCAGTTGTTCCAGATAGAACATGTTCCCCATAAACCTCCACTAGCAAACGATGAATTTCACCGGCAGATTTATTCGAATAAAAGTAGTTAAGTAATGCTTCCCGCAAATGTTCTTTTTTTTTCCTACGAAACGGGACATTTTCAATGGAATAAAAAGTTGCATTCTTTTCATTTCGATTTAATGTACCACACTGATTATTACAGCTTATTAACAGTACTTTCGTATACACCAATGATCACTTTCGGCCATTTTAAAATAGTACAACTAGTGACCTCTATTAGTAATCAGTGCGAATTAATTCAGCCACCAATTGGAAAACATATTAACGAATAATAATCATTGATAATAATAGAGTATTATTTATTAAGAAACATTTATAAATAATGTGAAACCATGATGAAACTTTCCATTCGTATTATTATAATTCATGATTTAATTTGTTAACAGCGCGTAGGAAAAGTTACAATAACCGAGCTGAAAAAACGTGGCATGACCGGAGAGGAATTGCGACAAATAATGTGGGGACGTGAATCTTTTTCAACGCCTGTACGTGCTAGGTAAAGTTATTCTTACGATGTATATAAATCGTTGTATAATTGATAAGTATACAGTGACGTGCAAAAGTATCGTGTCGCTCTTACTTTTTGTTTTGATCTTCCCACCATCGTCTTTTACAGTAGATATTTTTTATATCTTATATTTTATCTTTTATATTTTTGAAATATGTTTTACGTACTACCTACTGCCATTTTCAAATAATTAAAATTTAATTTAAATAATATGTGCTACACTCTCTTATTTTGACGGATGTCAGTGAAATTGATTCATTTTTAAATTTAATCATTTTACACACATCTAATCTATTTCTTGTGCATAGAAATGTAAACGAAAATATTTTTGAACACAGAAATGAAACACAAAATATTAAAAAACTGTTGAATCGTCAATTTCAAGTATCGTGCATTAGAAATAGAAGTAAGTGTATCTGTGCTAAATGTAATTCAAAAAAATCTTCCAAAAATATATTTTTCAAAGATAGGATTGTATATGTAAATATTTATTTTGTGAATAAAGTTTCGTTAAAGTGTAATCTTATTTTTTCTTGTTTTGTTTTAAATTTCAATTTCGACGTTTGAGTCTAATAATTGACTCATTTCAGGCAAAATATTTTTATACTGAACATCCGGCAATCATTTGTTAAAAAAAAAAAAAACACAGTGGGAGAAAAAAAAGTATAGGGGGAAAAATTACACGTCCCAACTTCCGATGACCTTATTTTTTATATGGATGCATCGATACACCTGCCAGTTGCAATTGCACTTTATTCATTAATGCAATCCAATTGTTTTTAATCAGAATATCAAACATCTCGTAAAGTATTGACATCTCGATGGCCATGGGGTTCAATACTTTTATACGAGGAATAATAAAAATAGGATCGATTGGTTAAAAACAAAAAAAAAAAATAGAAACAAATGGAATCGCATTAAAAAATAAAGTTACAGCAGTTGCACCTGACAGATGCATCGATGATGCGTCCGTACATTAAAATAAGGTCATAGAAAGTTACGACGCTTTATGAGATATGATTTTTTTTTTCTTTATTTCTATCACCTGTGTTTATTCTATTTTTATTTAAAAAAAGAAAATTTAACTCATACAAGTTTTTAGAGAATCTTTCATTCTCTTAATATATTA